AGTATGGTCTCAGGTTATATCCATTTTTGTATAAAATCTCCAGTTTATCCTTCTTTATGGCTGAGTAATACTTCATTATATTAAAAAAAAACACATCCTTTATATCCATTCCTCAGCTGATGGGCATTTGGGTTGTCTCCAAGATTAATGTGGTGCTATAAACATGAGTTTAGAAGAAACTCTTTCTGTACTTACACAGTTAAGACAGTTATGGAGCTAGTTTTTTTAGTTCATTGAAAAGAAGGATTTGTGCTAATATTGTTTGGAGAAGACATCATGCCTGTATCTTTTACTCTGAATAACTACTAAAAAGACAATAAGAGGCAATGTATTAATTATTATAAATCTCCTACTAACCTGTTTTAAAACTGTTTTTTTCTATATTTTTCTCTTAAAAAGAAACAATTATCTATCAATTTATCTATCTATCAATCATCTATCTATCCCTCATCCACATATCTGTGCTATGGTATCTAAAAGTAAGCACTCCCCAAGGACTGTATACTAAATGAACTGCAAACATATAATAATAAAAAATATTCTCTTCATTAAAAACAGGTTAAGCTTGACATTTTTAAAAATTTGGCATCATCCTAACTGATAAATGAATAGTGCATTTTTCCCTGTGCTTCTGAATAAATTCACATTAATTGCACAAATAAATACAACTAAAGATGTTGGATAAATTTTCATTGTTTATTGCCCAGCTTTCTTCTTTTATGAATGCCTATTTATATCCTTGGCCTGTTTTTTAAAATGAGTTGTTTATCCTTATTTTTTAATAACTTTTATCTAAATGGGTGCTTGATCAATCAATCTGACAAAGCAAATATTTTTATCCACTTGGAGTTTGTTGCAGAATTATTCATTACAGTACAATATCAATTGCATATATTTTCTGCAGGTTGTCATTTGTGTTTACCTTTGTTTGCTGTGTTTCTTGCCTTGCAGAACTTTTCTATGTTTATAAAGAAGTTCATCAACCTTTTCCTTTACAGCATCTAGGTTTCAGGTTTTAGGTGGCACAAATGCAAGCCGCATGTAGTTTAAAATATGTCATTAGTCATACTTTAAAAAGTAAAAAGGAAGTGAAATTATCTTAATAATGTATTTCATATATTATTAAATATATTCGTAAGTCTATTATAGCCAAATATTTATAATTTCAACATGAAATAATCTAAAAAGCTATGAATATTTTAGATTTTTATATAAATACTCCAAAGTCTGATGTGTGTTTTTTACTTATAGCACGTCTCAGTTTTGATTACCCATATTTCATGTGTTTATTGCCACTGTGGCCAGTGACTACTATTTTAGATCAGGTCATACCTTTGCTAAGAGTAGCCTTAGCTCTGTGACTAGTTTACTTTTATAGCTCAGATCTGATACTTCAGAATTGGCCCAATAAAATCTCACTATGGTCGGTTGAAACTTCATTGTCTGCCAGCTCCACGTGACTTTTGGGCGATTGCTTGGCTTCTAGCCTTCCTTCGTTATCTTTTCCTCAGCTACTGTAGTTTCTTGGCTCTTGAAGTCCCACTGCTACAGGATTGCTTGGTATTCATCCACAGACACCAAAGAGCTTCTTCACACACTTCTGCAACTCTCTGTGCAGCTCTCCCCCTTTTAGTACTCTGCTCTGGGAATCCCATAGCTAAGCCTCCCAAATTGTCCCTGTCCCCCAACTCAGCCTGTTTGGAGCCTCCTTCTTGCGTGTGGTAGGAAAGGACTTCCAGGCAGCAAGTCTGAGCAATCCTATGGCTTAGCTCATTAGTTTACTGTTTAGTAGCTTCCCATCTCTGTGAAAATATTCAACTTCAAGGAAGAAAAGTTCATTTTGGCTCAGTATCTTAGAGATGTCAGTTCTCGGTCGCTTGGCCGTTCTGTGTTGAGCCTGTGTTATACAGTACATCATGGTGGGAGCTTTTGGTGGAGAAAGCTCCCCACTTCACAATGGCTAGGAGGCAAACAGTAGACCTCAATGAGGCTGGAGTTCCAGGGTCCTCTTCTGGGTACCCCGCACCCCCGGGACCTAACTTCTTTCCCCTGGATCCCACCTCCTAAAGCTTCTGCCACCTGTGGTTCTCCTTGAAGAGCAAGCCTTTACATGGGCCTTTGGGGGACATCTCAGAGCAAAATCATAACATGTACTTCTGAACTGGGTGTAGGTGGGTAAAGGCTGCTTGTTGATGGTCAGAAGCAGAAGTCCTACATTTAAAAAAAAAACAGATTTTGAGTTTGTTCTCCTGCCTGTTTATAATTACCTTATCTCTATTAATCTCTTTTGTTGTCCTAATTTATCCTGTTATAGCTTCATTTATTTTTATTCTTCCTATTTATTAAGAACACTAATATTATGACTTTTTCCCTGAGGGACCATTTTAGTTTTTTCCCCAGGTTCAGATATGCAGAATAAGCAGTACTTTTGTGGTCTTTACTCTCGGATCATTTGTGATTTTGGTCTTGGCTTTCTCTTTGACTAAGAATTGTTCCAGAGACTTAACAGTTTTGAGATGGTAGAGTTTTATGTTTTAGTTTTCTGATATTGTTGTTAAGTTTTAGTCACATTGCATTATAGTTATCTGCATTGTTTATAATTTCTGAAAATATTTGGTAATTTCATTGTAGCTTACTATTAGGTCATTGTGATTTTGTCATGAAACTTTGTAAACAATGTGTTATTCATTGAAGATAGTGTTAGTTGATTTTAAATTAATAATGTTATTAATTTAAATATAAATTTAATTTAAACTTACAATAATATATTTATATGTGTTCATTTACATGTGTTTACTTTGGCTACCAGTAGATTTCATATTATGTATAAAGTACTCTATATTTTTTGTTGTTTTAGTATTCTGAGACAGAGTTTGCTAGTTCAGGTTCATCTTGAACTTTCTATATAACCCAAGCTGGTCTCAAACTCCTGACTTTTCTGCCTCAGCCTCTGAAGTTCTGGACATATAGGTACATCCCACCATACCTGGCTACTAAGATTTATTTTTAAAGACTTTGTGCTGTAAAAATGTGTGAAAGTGACCAGATTCCCAAAGGTCATCTAGAATATGTAGAATGTTGATATAAATTTGTGAACCTCCTAGAGTGCAGTGACCCTAGAGTCGGGACAAAAGGATACCTAAGGTTTTCTCCTTCTTCATTTGATTTCATTTTATTTCTTTCTGGAATATGCTTAATAAAATAGTCTAGAGAAAAAGGCCTAGGTCTATGCCATGCCAGTCTGTTATCAACAACTGTTTTTAATTGGTTGGGAAAAGCAAAGGTGAAATGAAAATGTAATTCCCCTGCACCTTATTCAAAATGTATTTTCCCATCGTTATTGTAAGACATGAATTTTAATCAACTTGTTTCTAACCATTTGGCCATGCATTTGTAGTCTGTATTCATAGGCTGGAAAAGTTGATAAAGGAGATGGAGAGTACTGGAAATCTTGCTGAGTACATTGGGATTATCTAATGCATTGCAGTGACTATCACGTTACCACTGGGGAGGTGAGAAGCACTGGGCTGGTGATAGAAAAGAACTACCATTTCCCAAAATGTCACGGTTTGACCTGGTACAGTTTTTACAGGTGGGTTTGATTTCTTCCTCTGGACTTTCCTGACAGGTCATTTTCTGCCTTGTCAGTTTCCCCATCAGAAAAATGGGAGCATGCTCAATATAGACCTTCTTCTTTTAATGGTTTGGGACAGGAAACAACCAGGGACTTCTGAAGAGAAGACTATGCCATGGAGAGGAAGAGGACTCATCTCTAAAAGATGCAATAGTTGGCTTTGGAGCTTGTTATTTAACAGAGAAGGGAGAAAGGGGTCACACTAGAAACTATTATAAAGATCTGCACTTACTTCCAGATCATTAAAAATTATAATCCACATCTGGTGTGGTGCACACCTGTAATTCCAGCACTCTGAGAAGCTGAGGCAGTAGAATCAAAAGTTTAAGCTCAGCCTGGGCAACTGAGGGATTTAGCAAGACTCTATCTCCAAGTAAAGAATTTAAAAAGGGAAAGAATTCAGGATGTGGCTAAGAGGGACTCCTTTGAGTTTTGGCCTCAGTGGGGGGGGGGCAGGGCGGAGCGCGGGGGGGGGATCAAGAATTCCTGAGGTTGTTAAACCATGGCTCCAGGGTCGACTAGTCCAAATATTTCTATGCGCATCATTTAGGACACATTTCCTGCCCCCAGATCCCCTGCTATTCCGGGTTAGGAGTGAGGAGTAAATTCCTGTTACTTTCCAAGTTTCTCTCCCATGCTTTTTTTTTTTTTTTTTTTTAAACTTGTGTATTTTTAAGATGTATATCACAGCATGTGGACAGTGAAAGCATTCCCAGAATCAGGCAAATTCGATCAGTCACCTTCCAGAATGATTAAAGTCCACTTTCTTAGCAAATGTCCAGCACACACACTATTGTGAGCAGTAGTCCTCCTGCTGTCACATCTCTACGTTTATTCCCCACACACCTGCAGCTTCCTGCTCTTTGGCCTATAGGTCGCTACTTCTAACCTCCCGCCCTAAGTAACCACCCGCTCCTTCCTTCGGCTTTGGGAAGCACCTATCTGCAAGACCCAATAGTCACGACAGCCTGTGCAGGGTAGGGGGACCATTTTCTATTTTCTTTCACCAAGGCAGTTTCTTACCGGTACCCCCCACCCTGTCCCCATTTAGCGACGAATGGAGACCTCCTGTCACCACCGGGTGGCAGTTTCCCGTCTCCTTGAGATCTTGGAGTAAGACCAAAACGGGCGCACTGAAGTCTGCCCCGCGCGGTTTTCTGCGCAGCGCGGTGGCCGGGTTGGGACGGCAGCAGTCTGCTCGGCCTTCCCCGGGGTTTTGGGCGCAGCTCGGGTTGGTGCCGCGTCGCCCAGATCCTCGTGCGCGGTCCCGGCGAAAGGCTCCCCGCCGCCCGAGCGCGGGCTGCAAGTGAAAGGGGGAGCCCGAGGCCCTCGGAGGCTTTGGGCCAAATCTGGGCTTTTATTCGCTCCCCAGACTGGTTGAGGCTGACTCTGTCCCTTTGCTGCAAACCCCCGCGCTCCCGAAGGGGGCGAGCGCTCGCCTACACCGGAGGCGGAACCGCGAGCACCGCGCGAGCCAGGCCCGGGGCCAGGACCTGACCTTGGCGGGCCCGACGGCTGTGGGCGCGGGCGGCGGTGGGAGGAGACAGTGTCGTTCTCCACGCCCGCCAGCCCCAGCTCCCGGGGCTGCACCCACCCCCTGCGGAGGCTGTCGGCCCGGGACCCCCACCCCCACCCCCCGGCTGGCTCCGCAGGGGCTGCAGGGCGGCGGGGTCACCGGCCTCCCCCGACCGTGCCTACCGCCCGCAGCCCGGCCTGGAGGACTGTTTGCTGTGGTTAATGATTGACCACCGACTACCGGCTTTCCGGAGCTGCGGAGCTCTGGAGGGCGGGCCGGGCGGCAAGTGCCAGGGAGCAGGAGCCGGGCCTCAGGGCAGCCAGTCGGGGTCGCGCCCTCCGCGCAGAGAGAAAGGGCCGTGACACCGGCACCACGTGCACCCTCAGAGGGCCAGGGAGGCCGGCCCGCCTTCCACCGCCAAATCCCCGCCTCACTCCGGGACGCACGTCTCAAAACCCCACCCCCAGGCCTCCCCTAGGGTGGATTGCTCCAGGAAGCTTCCATAAAAGCACCCGAAGTGCTAAATTCGCTTCTGCTGGGGAACTCGAATTGGAGGGAGTCCTGCGTCCAATCCCCTTCTGAGTTGCTGCCAAGAATTTTGAGCTCTGCTAAGAGGACAAAGGAAAGTTGAGAAGTCTTTGGACCAGGGGGCGCCGTGTACTCTGCTCTCTCTCTTGCATGGCTTCACACGGGGACTCCAGCAGTAACTGCTTCCATATCATTGATCATGACCATGTCCCCGAATTTGAGGTGGCCACCTGGATCAAAATCACCCTCTTCCTGGTGTACCTGATCGTCTTCGTGGTGGGCATCCTGGGGAACAGCGTCACCATTTGTGTCACCCAGGTGCTGCAGAAGAAGGGCTACCTGCAGAAGGAGGTGACGGATCACATGGTGAGCCTGGCGTGCTCTGACATATTGGTCTTCCTCATTGGGATGCCTATGGAGTTCTACAGCATTATCTGGAACCCTCTGACCACCCCGAGCTACCCCGTGTCCTGTAAGCTTCACTCGTTCCTCTTCGAGGCCTGCAGCTATGCCACTCTGCTCCATGTACTGACGCTTAGTTTTGAGCGCTATGTTGCCATCTGCCACCCCTTCAGGTATAAGGCCATGTCAGGACCCTGCCAGGTGAAACTGTTAATTGCCTTCGTCTGGGTCACCTCTGCCCTGGTGGCATTACCCTTGCTTTTTGCCATGGGTGTCGAATACCCCCTGGTGAAAGTGCCTGCTCACCGAGGCCTCACTTGCAACCGCTCCCGGACCCGCCACCACGAGCGGCCTGAGGCTTCCAACATGTCCATCTGTACTAATCTGGCCAGCCACTGGACCTTGTTCCAGTCCAGTATCTTTGGAGCGTTTGTCCTCTACCTGTTGGTCTTGATGTGTGTGGCCTTCATGTGCTGGAGCATGATGCAGGTGCTCATGAGGAGCAAACAGGGCCCAGTGGTGGGGACCAGCCAGCAGATGCAGCTGAGAAAGTCTGAGAGCGAGGAGAGCCGGACGGCTAGGAGGCAGACCATCATCTTCCTGAGTGAGTCCCTGTGTGGGTGACTTCCCACCCACCCACCTGAGCCATGTCTTGTGGTCCTGTTCACTGTGAAGTCTTCACCTAGACATGTAAACTTAAATTCATTGAAGCAGAGGTCACAGCAGAATGTAGAAGAGGGTATTCACCTTGATCTGGGTGTCAGGAGGTTTCTTCTCTATTTTTGGGGACTTTGTGATGCGTTATGGTGACAAGAACACCAGACCAAGAGTCAGTCTAGAAACAATATTTCTGTGACCTCAGAGCAAGTCATGCAAATTCACCTTGGATAAATGGGGATAATAATAGTGGGAAACGGAGGGAATGCAGGGCAGGTGAAAGTCCTCTGTGAGTTGGTAGTGCTGAAGATATAAACGGAGTACCTTGTCTCCTCTTTGTTCTGGACAGCCTGTTTCAGATAATTAGCTTGTGTTCCCATTTTTCTCTTTTGGAGAAAGCAGGCTGATGTCTTACTCCCCCTGGAGTTCTTACCAGAGCAGAGATATGCAAGGACTGTTTGGTCCAGAAAAATCCAACTTAGCAGATTTGTGGGTCTTTCTCTCTCTCTCTCTCTGACACAGGATCTCACTATGCATTTTAAGCTGGCCTTGAGCTCACTTGGTAGCCCCGGCTGCCCTTAAATTTGCAATGATCCTCTAGCCTCATGTTGGCTTTCCAATCTTTGTCACAGGGAATATTTCAAGAGAGTCCCAGGATCTGAAAGGTCCCAAAACTTTCAGAAGAGGGGCTTTGTCACTGCTTCTGGAGACAAAGCTTTACTGTAGACATATGACGTGTATGAGCAAAGGGTTTTTAAAAAATTATTTGTTAGCTAAAACAAGAAAAAAAATAATATCAAGGGTATGTGAGTGTGAATCGAAGAGAAGAGGTATTACAAATGTTTCTTGCTTCTCCTCTCTCCTTTTCTAGTGTGGTATGCCAGGAAAAAAGAATCATGCATGGTGCTGTTTGCTTTGGTGTGGGAAACCTGAGCGACTAGTTCCAAGGGCAGGAGTCAGAGGAGAAAATGGAAGGCATGTGGGTCTTTGGGTGTGTACCTGCGTGACTTCTGCTCTCAGGAGTGTTTGCATGCAGCTGACTTGATTTTAATCTAAGAGCAAAAAGAAAGCAGGAACTTGCAAACTTTGGTCATCTGTGCTGCAGCAAGGGCTATGCTGGGTAATTTATGTTTGCTTTTTATACAAGAGGAATTGGAAGCTTAGAGAAGACAGATCAAAATCTCATTAAGTGCAACTCTGGGATTTTTACTATGCTTTCCAGAGTGTCTGGCCATGACTTTTGTAGGTACATAGTGAAATGAAAATGAAATGAGGCAGGCCCTCCACAGACAAGGTGCTACCTAGGTTAGCCTGCTGGTGTTGTTGTTCTTTCTGGCCAGCTTCACTTGAAGTCACAGTAGGTAGTCAGGCAACGTTGTCTAGGGGCCTGGGAAGGACAATCAAACTGATATAGGAGAATGAAACTCCCAATCTACTAGATGTCTGGTATGAATTCATGCTCTCTAAAATCAAAGAATGAATTTTAGGAACAATGGAGGTTAAAAGTGGAATATGTTTATTGAGAGAAAGAAAGCTTCTGTCTGGGAGAGAGACAGAGGGCGTCCTGAGCGGGTTGCCAAGGACTCTGTCTTTTCTAGGGACTTTTATAGAGTAAAACCATGAGGTGAGATGGGTCCAAGATGGGTAAAAATGGAAATTCACAAGTTGGGCATAAGATAGAACAGAACTGTGGTCAACCAGTAAGATTAATTGCTCAGTGAAACTGATTAAATCCGGAACAAATGGGGAAGCCAGTTGAGTAGCAAGGAGGCATGCTTAACAGCAGTGACTCTTCCTGCAGGCGGTCGGGACAGTGACTCCTGACTTCCTCAGGTGATACAGATCCAGTTAGACTGTCACTCCTTAGGATGAGGGTGTATTTGCTTGATCCTTTGTCTTGAGATCTGGTCCACAGCAGGAGATGCCTGTCTCCTCCAAAGTCACAAAATGTTTGGTCCTGTGTAGGCTCCCTCAAGGGCCCAGCCCTGTCTGACTGCCTGTATTTCTAACTCACTCAGCTGCCTCTAATAAAACCATCTCAGTCTTTTTCATTGGCTGCCACCCAAAATACATTGGAAGAAATGGACATTACACTTGCTTAAAGATTGCATATTTGTGGAAAGGCTCTCTCTTTTGTGTCCTCTACCTACTTAGGCTTATCCTGAAGTGTTAGCTGTAATATACACTGCAGTGTGAATGATGGATTTCTCTCATTCATTCATTTGTGTATTTATTTATTTATGACTGCTGGGCAGTAAAATTAGAGGGTAAACAAGAATTGGGAAGTGGTTGCTTATAGTGGATACAAGCAGCTCAGGGGTACACTGCTCACCTAGCATGTGCAAGGATCTGGGTTTGATCACCACGACAGAAATCACCTCTCAGTCTAATTTAGCAATTAAGGTTGCCCTTGTCAAAGGAAAAATGTCTGAGTAGACATCTGTTCTTTTCCTAGTGGGTATTAAAATCTGTTGTCATTTGGTTGCATAAAATCAGAATGCAACAGATTTTGTTTAAGAGATGGACAGGGACAGGACCATGGAGATCACCTCCTTAGGTTAGTAATTGCTTGGAGTGGGTTTATTCTCAAGACAGCTCTCATCCTTTGCTCCCAGCTCTCTCCCTTTCTTATAACAACTATGTATTAATCACCCACTGTGCTCCCAGCATTCAGGTTGCTAAATGGAGTCAGTGCTCAATGTGTGAGGAAGTATTCATTTGTATTTAGCCCATTTCCTCCACAGTAGGTTTTCAAAGCAGCTCTTGCAAAAGTCCCCCTCTCCCAATGAGTTTCAAAGAGCTTTTAAAATAGGAACCTCCCTAATTAACTCAAGTTAGGAAATAAATTAATGGACCGAAAAGGAAGAAATCATGGTTCTGCATCCATCAGATTAATATAATGCAATTTACTTTGTGCATTTCATAAAACTTGTGCTTTGGGGCATTTTTAACCTAGAACAAGTGAACATATAAGTTGTTTACAAATTGCTGAATTTAATATAGTGATTTAGCTGTCTTTTTAGTATTTCATTTGACAGATGGATCAAATTAAAGCAAATATTTGCTCATCTCAAACGTTTTGAATTTAATGTGAAATGTAAATGACAACATAGCACAGGATGTCTTTGGAGTTAATGAGGTTAAAACAAAACCCAAGTGTTCCCCCATTTTTAAAACTTTTAACTTCTGTATAATGGAAGCAGAATTCACAAATCTACCCAAGATGAAGAAGCCCATGTAGAAAATGCCAAGTCTCCTTTCTTTATTTTTTGCTATTGTGCTCCAGATGAGCTGAGATGTTGGGCTGGAGAATAATGAAAACAAATTTGAAACTCTGGGCCAGGAAAAAGTGCTGAGACAGCTACTAGGTCTCAAGCAATCTGTAGGAGAAAAACATAATGCAGAAGTGCACATTCCTGTAAACATGAGGGCCTCTTCTTGTCCTAGGCCACTGCGCTGAGAAATCAGGCTGAGGGGTGTTTCCAGTTGCAAGGTTATGGCTTGTGTGGCCATGGAGATCCTTGACCAATGTCAGAACAGAGTTTATAGTCTGGATTTCAGTCTCGTCTGGAGAAAAGTCATTGGTAGATGTCACTTTTTGTCTCTTGGTTGTTGAGGGTGTGCAACACACAGGCTCTCCCAGACCGTGTTTTCCTCCCCATGTTTATCTTTCTAAATCTCAAATGCATCCAGCATCCAGGCCATGGACCTGTGGCTTTCTGTCGAATGTCTCCCATTCAAAGTGGAACAATGGGGGCAACAATAGGGTCGTTTCAAATTCATTTTACTAGGTAATACTCAGGAACATGAAAGGGTTGGGACTTTATTACAGCTACCTCCCATGGGGCAACAATTGGCTTCAACAGTAATTATGAGAAAGCATTTTAACAGATAACCTTGAAGCTACAAAATTAAAGGAGCATCATAAAAATTCTGATACTATGATAATTATCTTTTATATTCTGATTTACTGTCCTAAAACAGCAAAGGAAGGAATGACAGCTGATCGCAGGAATTGCCCATTTACTTGGGTTGCCCATAGGAGAATGTCTTAAATATGACCATCTCACATCACACGTGGGTAGAAAAAGGGTAAGAGTTGCCACTCTCAAGGGCTACATTTTAATATTGGTGGAGTGGGCCAGGAAAGGAGAACAAGATCACAATCCTATCACATCACAATTACGTCCTTTGGTTTTTTTTTTTTTTAATTTTTGTTTGTTTTTTTGAAACAGGGTCTTGCTATGTACTTCAGACTGGTCTCAAACTTGAAGAAATCCCCCTGCCTCAGCCTTCTGAATGTTGGAAATACAGGTGTGCACTACCGTGCCTGGTGTTATACTCCAGATTTAGAGACCAAGCCAAGAGGTTGAGGGTGAGAGCCTTCAAACAAGAAAGCCAACTGATATGTTGTCTATTAGGCTCTTTATCTAGAGCAATCAGTATCTGAAAAGTACTCTTAACAGTTACTCAGGACAAATCAAGTGTTGCTTTTTTTTCCTTTTATTGGTACCTTTGATCAAACTTGTGACCTTTGTACTTGCCAGACAGGGCTTGTGCTGCTGAGCTATAGCCCTGGTTCAAGTGTTGCTTGTTGAGGACATAATTTTTCTGCTGGAGCTATGCAATAACTTTTGTTTTTGATTTTCCCAGGAGGTTATGAAGAGGTCTTTCTCCCAAAGGCTTCTCATTTTTTTTTTTTTTTTTGCTATTTTCATCACCCATATTGAAGCACATGTTCTGTAGTCATTATTGTCAACATCCCATTCTGCCACTATTAATTTTTGAGACGAGGTCTTGCTAAATTGCCCAGGTTGGCCTCAAACTTGTGATCTTCCTGTCTCAGGCTTCTGGGTGTTGGATCTTTTTGGTGCAGTAAGAGGCAAAAGGAAAAGAGGCCTTTATTGAGGAAGTAGAGGAGAATGCACAGCTCACTGGGAATGTTCA